CTCACAGTAGAGAAGCAGAAATATACTGCATACCTTGATTTTCTACAAGTTCTTTGGAAATCACTGTCTTCACACAAAGCCTTTGGGCTTTTGTGCAAAAAAGTTATTCCAGAAATATGTAAAAGTATCCTTTCACCTTTGTACAACTTGAAAACAGATGAGTACTTTGTAGATGTTTTTAAAGAAATGTTCCAGCATACTTGATGTAGAAATGTGCATTCAATACCCAGTCTAGGAAACTAACTTGACCACACACCTACTTAGAATTCAAAACTATTAAACGAAATCCATACTTCTTCCTTACTGTTCTGCATCTGAGATGAGACAAATGTGGGATGTAAAGTTAGATTCCATGGAAACCAGTAAGATGACATTTACAATATAGAATATAGTGCCAAAGATCCAGTTTCACTTAGTGGGGTTTCAAGGGCCATATGCTTACTGTGCTAGGAATCAAAAACAGGGGATACTATGGCTGAATAAACTTTGTACCCAAATAATTTGGAAACCGGAGTTAGATTTAAAAATCTTTATGTACCAGAGAAAAAGCTTTGAAGGGAGAAAAGGAAATCAGATTTGAAACTCCTAAAAATATCCACAGGCATGCAATGGGTATTCAAAATGTTTGTTTTTTAAGAAGGAAGTAAAGACCTATGCATCTATCTGTATATAATGGGTTGGATCCAGTGAACCAGAAGTAGAACAAATTCAAAGAACAGATTTGTTCTCCCCACCATCACCTTCTCTCTACTTTCCCCAAAGAATTGCTGAGTGGGGCAGAGAATGGAAACTTGAAAGTAAATAATCAGAAAAACCCCCCCCCCCCCCCCATGGGTAAGCTGTTCCATGAATACAGAATACAAAGTGACTTTTAGCCATCCTCATTTTTACTGATAAGATTGTTCTTGTGATTAGTCTGAATTGAAGACTGATCAATGATAAGAGCTCAGAGGGCATTTCCAGATGCACTCCAGGTACTCATTCAAACTTGAACTGCAAAACCTGTCAAAGCTTTTCTTTCAGGTCAATACACACACACACACACACACACACACACACACACTAAAATGCCACAAATGACCGACATGGAGCAGGTGGGCTGGTAAAATTTTACACAGACTTTTTTAATGTGCATATCTGGAAAGCTGGTGTACAATAGCTGCCAAAGGTCCCATAATAATTATTTTTTATTTTAATATTTATGATTTTAATATTTTTGTTGTTTTATTTGTATCGGTCTGTTGGCTGTCTTCTGTAAGCCGCCCAGAGCCTGTTTATAGGGTGGGGGGTATAAATGTACATATAAATATAAGTAAATATAATAAGGGTCTCATAACTGACAGCCATCAGCTCCATATTATGACATGGATCCCATGGTAAATTTCCACAAACTGGAGAGGGAGGGTAATTCTGCTGATTTCCCCCTCTGCCACATACCTCTGGTTCACTTTTCCAGGGGGGGGGTCCCCTGTCCCACCAGGAGCAGCATTTGGGGGACCATTTTGAGCTGTGGTGGGATGGGAAAGCAAGGACTGCCAACAGAAAGATCTTCAAATAGTGAAGATGTACCACAGGATCTAAGCCCATTATTTAAATTAAAACTCTTATACATGACCTAAACTCATGTATGTACAAGTACCTGTTCCATTAAAAGAAACCCTCTGTGTGTGCCGTTGGAGACTCCATTGCATTCCCAGAAGACATGATCCAGACTAAGTACCTTAAATCCTATTAAGTGCAATGCAAGAGGTAAGAACACCGTCACGTCTCTTCCACTGGAATCCATGGGACTCAAAAGTATCAAACTTGCCAGCTCATGCCCAAAGTATTCTACTATTTGCAGAAGTAAAGGGAGATGTCCCAGAGCGCCTTGAGCTTTGTATGCACATTGAACATGGCCCTGAGCAGTTTGAGCCTTCTGTGCATTAACAGCAAGGATGGATGTAAGATAAATGCTTTATTGCTACAACATATCTATACAAAGCTGCCTGGATACTTAAGCTGCATGCCCTAAAGGCATTGCATGAAGTTCAAACAGGGATCTGTAAACATCTGAAAAATTCCTTAAAAAAATATATCCTGTTCAACTAAGGCCTACTTATCACAACTAAACAATTACTGTGATCTGTACCATGTGAGTGGGGAATAAACATAGAATGGAAGGCTTCCCCACAAGAAAGTTAATATGTTTTGGCGAAAGCCAGGTGATAACTTGTCTTTCTCCTTGACATATAGTATTTTATGTTATATCCTTGGTTCTGTGTTATTCTTCCACTTATAAACCTCTAGGTCCACTTATAGACCTCTAGGTCTATAAGTGGAAGAATAACACAGAACCAAGGATAATGAGGGTAATCCGTCTCCAAAAGGTTTGCTTCTATAAATGGACAGACTATGCAATGTCAGTCTTTATCCTACCAAAATAAAAACTGATTAGCAATAAAAATCCTTGTAGCTGCACAAAACAGAAAGCGGCCAAATGCATAATTTTCCTGTGTCCTTCTACATGGAAGGGCTTCCTATAGGAGAAACAAAATTATTAAAGTGGCCTTCAGCTAAACCTTAAAGGGACAGTGCACGCAATTATAGCCTATATGTAATAGTTCTAATTTTATGAAAGCTAAGGTTTGTAGCATTTTGCTGTCCTTGAAACCAAACAGATTTGCTAATCTCTCAAAGGGCTATGGCAGGTCCTTAAAGAGATGAGAGTACCAGACCACCTCACATGTCTCTTGAGAAACCTGTATAAGGGCCAGGAAGCGACAGTTAGAACCGGATATGGAACAACTGATTGGTTCAGCATGGGAAAAGGAGTACGACAAGGATGTATATTGTCACCTTGCTTATTTAATATATATGCAGAGTACATCATGCGAAATGCTGGCCTGGATGAATCACAAGCGGGAATTAAGATTGCTGGGGAAAAGATCAACAAACTCAGATATGCAGATGATACCACTATAATTGCAGAAAGTGAAGAGGACCTTAAGAGCCTCTTGCTCAGGGTAAAAGAGGAGAGCGCTAAAGTGGGCTTGAAGCTCAACATAAAAAAAAACTAAGATCATGGCATCCGGCCCCATCACTCCTTGGCAAATAGAAGGGAAAGTCGTGGAAGTAGTGACAGACTTCACGTTCCTGGGATCCCAGATCACCGCAGACTGTGACAGCAGCCATGAAATTAAATGACGCCTGCTCCTTGGGAGGAAAGCAATGGCAAACCTAAACAGCATGATAAAAAGTAGAGAGATCACTTTGCCAACAAAAGTCCGCATGGTCAAAGCAATGGTATTCCCAGTAGTCATGTATGGCTGCGAGAGTTGGACTATAAGGAAGGCCGAGCGCCGAAGAATAGAGTCTTTTGAACTATGGTGCTGGAGAAGGCTCTTGAGAGTCCCTTGGACTGCAAGAAGATCAAGTCAGTCAATCCTAAAAGAAATCAACCCTGACTGTTCCCTGGAAGGCCAGATAATGAAACTGAAGCTCAAATACTTTGGCCACCAAATGAGAAGGGAGCACTCACTGGAGAAGACCCTGATGCTGGGAAATATTGAAGGTCAAAGAAGACGGTGACGGCAAAGGATGAGATTGTTAGACAGTGTCATAGATGCAACGAACATGAAGTTGAGCAAACTTCAGAGGACGGCAGAAGACAGGAGGGCCTGGCGGGAGCTGGTCCATGGGGTCGCGAAGAGTCGGACTCGACTGTGCGACTCAACAACAACAACAACAACAAAACAAAGGGCTAATTCATACATCCAGAACAATGACCATGCAGGTTGAGGAAATGTGAGTTAATTTTGGTATGTGGTATGATTATTTGCCACATATCCAAGATATACACATCTAGTTGATGCGTAGTAAGTGTGGACTGAGATTTGAGTAGGGATATCCTATCAAAACTTTTATTAATCATAATCTGACCTGAACTATGTCCATTTGTGAAGATCATAAATTCTCCACATCCAAACAGAATTATTTCTAACATTTGGGAGACACTGGGAATCTTACATGACCATTATTCTGGTGCCTTGCCACCTGGCTTCATTTCCTTAGATAGCAAGAGGCAGGAGGGCAAGTGAAGAGAGTTAACCTTACTTCCTCCCATTTTACCTTGCTATTCATGGCTGTTTGAAGCATATTGTCTCCCAGATAGGGCCTGATGCCAGAAATCAAGATAGAAGTAAAATGTTGAAAGCATTAGAGCACAGCAGGCAAGGAGGCTCATGGTTAGAGTTATCTGCATTGCATCCAGAAGGTCCCATGTCTCCTGGCATCCCCAGGCAATAGATGATGTGAAAGATCTGTGCCCAAGACCCTGGAGAGCTGCCACCAGTCAGAGTAAACAATACTGACCTTGATGAGCCAATAGTCTGTCCCAGTATAAGGGATCTTCATGTATTCAAGGTTTTGCAACCCTCTCCTGTGCACAATTTTGGTAAAATAATTTTTTTTGTAAAATAAATCACATAAAAAAGACTTTCCCCACCTTCAGCACCCCAAGAATGGGAGGAAAAAAGCTAATTCATCGACACAATAATGTTGCCATCACTCTCTACGACCCTTTCCAAAAGTGAGGATTTTAATTGCTCCTAAAATGGAGGTGTCAGCAAAGGATCCCTTGGGAGAAAAGTATAACCCCTGAGAATTTCATTGCAATAAGGAGGGAACGTTTTCCATTGAAACCAATGTGAATTATTATCTTTAATTCCAGTATTAAAGAATTTGATGCAGATTTTTGTAAAACAACAAAAGAATTGAAACCAGGATTACCAACTAGGATTTGGACAACATAACAAATGTAATTTTCCACAAATGCAGACATGATGTGTTTTGGAACAGCATACCACACTTCTGAGGATTATTTCTGGAATGACAACCCATGCAATGGCCATTGTGAGGAATGCTCCAGTCTCTATGGAACAACAAACCCAGTCTTCTTGAGATAGGTCATCTTACAGTTCTCCCCATAAACACAGATGCTATGATTTCTTTTGCCTTACCCCCAACACTTGACATTCTTGAGGAATCTTGAGGACTGCTGGATTTGTTGCGGTTCTGGTTTTTCTTTTTGTTGCTGGCAGCTCGGACAGATCGAAAAAGAACTTCGCTGGCTTTGAAGAATGCAACCATGAATGGCTGTTTTGACTGCGGCCCGTGCCTCCCTATAAGACCAGCTGACTTTACATTGATACTGCGACCTACAAAATAAGGTAGACATAGGAATATGTGCAAACAAGACAAAATCAATTGACCTGATTTATGAAGTCACAATGTTAGAAACGTGTTTCAGGTGGGTAGATCTGTTAGTCTGTAGTTAGAACAAAATTTGAGTGTAGTAGCACCTGAATGTTACAATAATAATGATGAGAAATTGCTGTAAAGTTCACAAATCACAATGAATAGACAATAATAACTAGTACAGAATTGACGCTTGATGATGTTTATAATTTCTATGTTTTCAAAACACAGGATGTCAAATACGGAAGGTGAGCGATACTAGACTTGTTGTCCGAATTTAGAATTTGTTAGCCCTTGTGCTGTTAAAACTTGTTAGCCTATGTGCTTTACGGATGTTGGATAAGATTGATATCACAGCTAAACACAATAAGACAACCAGAGAACTGAATTTGGTTGAAAAAGAGTTGTCTCGAAACGAACAACCACTCGAGATGTTCGTATCGCTCACCTTCCGTATTTGACATCCTGTGTTTTGAAAACATAGAAATTATAAACATCATCAAGCGTCAATTCTGTACTAGTTATTATTGTCTATTCATTGTGATTTGTGAACTTTACAGAAATTTCTCATCATTATTATTGTACTGCTTTGAATTGCTGGTCCCCCTTGTATATATTTGTAGCACCTGAATGACCAACAACATTTGCCCTGACCTGGATGGTCCAGGCTTGCCCTGTCTCATCAGATCTCGGAAGCTGAGCAGGTTGGTTAGTACTTGGATGAGAGAACTCCAAGTGAGTCTAGGGTTGCTGTGCAGAGGAAGGCAATGGTAAATCACCCCTGGGCATCTCTTGCTTTGAAAACCCTACAGGGTTGCTATAAATCGCTGCAACCTGATGACCCTTTCCTCCACCACCATAAGCTTTCATGAATTAAAGCTCACTTTGTCAGAATCTTACTAACGCAGAGATCCTGGAAAAATCTGTGGGTGTTTAAAGTGCTACTGGACTTATAGAATGTTAGAAATATTAACCTTTGATATAAAAAGTAGATATCCTGGCAAGGACATCCTCAACTTTGGGATATTTTAGAGTACTGGATGAGAATAGGGTCTTCACTAGCCAAGCATTCTACACTGTGATGGCAAAGTAGTTAAATTTAAAGATATCCCCAATCCTCTTCCTTTGAGAAGGATGAACTGGAACCCTTAGATATACACACTAATCAACAGGAATTAGAAATGGAGGCAATGTATATATTTATGCTATAAGTCATAAATAATTTCAAGGCATTACTCAAATTTCCCTTAAAGCTTTGAGTACAGGTACAGCTGAGGCTTCAGTCTTTCAAGGAATAATATATAATAGAGGTTGAAATATGTACATGAGTGACCCTGGTTTTACTCCTGAGAGATGTACATATTTCTTTGCAATATTTGTTCAGTCAGGACTGAGTGGTAACTTCACTAGATTATAAGACTCTGACCCTCTGGGCCGGGGGTGGGGAGGGGAAGCATAGGGCTGAAAAGCAAAGGGGAAACAAGCCAATGAAATAGCATCCATAAATTCCTAACAAATAAGCCCCCCAACTCTTAACAGGATTTATTTTGGCAGCTCAAATAATTTTGTGTCTCCATGTATTATGCGGAGACTTTGTTCCACCAGAACCTGAGACACTGTCATGTGAAACGATGCAGCTGTACTAGGGGAGGGCCCCCAAGATCTTTGAAATGGTAAAGTGTTGGTAAAGAAATGTTAAATTGTGCTAGTGTCTGGACAGCAGCAGAGTTCTGATCTCTTGTTCTGTAATAAACCAGAAGGAGGGAGGGAGGCAGTTAACATCTTATGACAAAGAAGCATCTGCTTTGCAAATGCCTCATGCCATTAAACTCAATCTCATCAGAGAAAGAACTTACTAATAATCATAGGAGTAAGCCTTAAACAAATAAGCTTATAGGCTTCCCCTTTAAAGGCAAACTTACAGTGGCTCTCTGCCAGGGTCTATATTTCTTAGAAAAACTTCTATCATTGGCATAAATGAAAAGGCAGTTTGATTTGTGGTTAAAGCAGTTTCCATTCTACTTCCACTGTAACAAATGTATTAATTCAGCTCAGACTTCCTCCTCCTGGCAGCCTTTTTGCAGTATAAAAAAAAAAAGCGAAATTAGAAGTCGCAGCCAAATACCGTACCTTGAACTGACCCACTTCAATACATAAACACTTTTACAACATGTTTATTCAGGTGTAGCACTTTAAATTGGTTTAAGATGTTTCCAGTGACAGAGAGCACAGCAAAGGTGAAAAGAGAAGAACCCAGAAAGTTAAGCAGTTCAAGAGCAGAATAAATGGTCACATAGTCTGAAAAGTGTGATAAGACACCCCCCCCTCAGTACTCTCAGAAAATGTGTATTTGTAGCAACTTCTAATTTCACTCTGATATGGCTTTCTAACACAGTGTTTATCTAAAAGCATATTTCATGTATTTTCTTAAATGATGGTTAAACAATACAGGAATACTATTCACTTCTGTATGTCAGATGCTGATGATAATGGTAAGGACGAAACCTCAACATTGCAAGCTTGCCTTCTTGTGGTTTAGTTTTATCTATAAAAGATCAATTCCTTACTTCCCCATGTAGGGGACAAATGTAACAGTGCAATCCTAGACAGAGTTACAGCCCATAGACTTCAATAGACCTAAAAGGATTTATATCTCCTTTGGACTGACTTTACAAAGGTGTATATTGTGAGAGAAAGTGGAGTGAGGGAGCCTTCAAACCAATGTGAACTCCCTTTAAAATAATGTTTTATATTATTAAGTTTCCTCTAGGTTTCCTTTAGATCAGCAATGAGATGATTATTAAGATCCCATAAGCCAAGGTTTACAGAGATACTCTTAAAAATTAGTATAAGTTAAAACAGAAGCAGTTTATGGGTCTCTCTATCTTGTTTTTACTTGCTCTTTTGAACAGCCACTTTTAGGAACAGCATTTTTCCCCAGGAGGTAAGCCCCACCATTGATTTCTGCTGAATTCACTGTTGAAGTCAATTCAGGATTGCATGAAAATCAAAAATTGAAGCATTGATCAATCAAGTTTTGTAATATGCTTTTTTGCTGTGATCATCAGAGCACTTAATTCAGAATTGTCCCGCTGATCTCGGAGCTACTCCAAAATAAATTAGTGGTTTCATAACTGAAGGCTTAGCTTATTTATTATGGCTGGGATCCAAAGAACTCATTCCATGTTCCTAAGGGAGATTGGGGCTTCTGTTTATTGAACAGAAGCCCCTCATGCCACATAGGAAACCACTTTTGAACCTGAGTAGACTTTTAAAAGCAGCTTGTGATATGGCATTGTGTGGTGCAGGGTTCTGCTGATCAAAGAAAAAAAGATTCTAAAATCCTATTGGATATTCCTGAGCCCTGGACATACTTAGGTAATTCAGCAAATTATTGCATTTGATTTATGCAATGTTAATAAATTTAATTTATATTCTTTTGTTCAGATTAAAACCCTTTAAAATGTAGATCTGGAAGAGGCATTATCTCTTATTTGGGATTCTCTATTGCAGAAAACTAAGAAAGCCAAAAGATATTTCATCTACAGTTTTTACCAAGTGATGCCCTTAAGTATAAGCAAAACAGGTGAAACGTTCCATCTCTTCCCATGCATGCAGAGCCTCCAAGTGTTGTTTACGGATCATACCAGCAGTTAGCATTAGATATCAGACTTATTTATTTATGTAGATATTTATACCCTATATTTATCCCCAACTATGGCCCCACAACTTCCCTGTCAGTTAAGAATGAATGACTACGCAAGCTCACTCAGGTCCCTTCTGCACTAGACCTTAAATCCTGGTTCAACCCTGTCCCCGAACTTACATTTTACACTACACTCGAGTTTGCCCCTGTAATTATCTCAGGGTATTTTTTGTTTCCACATTACATTGAAGTCACCCCGGTTTCACCCCACACTTGTCTCGGGATAAACAGATGCTGTTATAACCAGGGATAAATGCAAGGTATTGTGTCCCATGTTGAACTCTGATAAAATCAGGGATAAGATCCGAGTGCGGAAATGACCTCAGTCAGTTTCCATGGTAGAGTGGGGATTGAACATTAAAACCTGTCTCCCAGATCTTAGTCTGATACGCTAACCACTCTACCATGCTGGAATTGATCACAACAGGTATGGACGTAAGCATACTTGCTAGGTCTATGTGCTGCTTTACTCTTCAGTTCTCCCTTCATATGCAGAGCACAAGAACTAATTTCAATTGTCTGTGATGAAGGGGACATCTGGGTAGGTTTCCTCCTCCAAACCCAGATTCTAAACCAGGACTGAATCCTGCCTTAAAATCAAATAGTTTCCAAGAAAAACAAACAATTTCCTTAGGTGCCTGCATTTAAATTTTGTGGCCAATTGGAGGGTGGTTTTCAGCTGATATTTCTCTTTGTGTTCTGCATGAGAAAAAAAATCAGGAGGAAAGAGCAAGGGGCAACGAAGGCAGCTTGGAGTTCCATTGGCCCATGAAAAGACGGAGGGTCCCACCAAGGTATTGATGTATTTAGGAATTGAATTGGAAACCAGGGGTCAGTTGTCCCACTTGCCCTTGGATAAGCTTCAGGAGTTAAAAAAGTTAGTTGGTCAAGCTGACAGGCTCAGAAAAATAACATTGCTGGAGCTCCAACGGCTGGATGGTCACCTGAACTTTGCTTGCAAAGTTGTGGCCCCAGGCAGGGCCTTTGTGTGTCGCCTTTGTGATGCCATGGCGGGCTTATACCTGCCTCACCATAGGACCAGGGTCACAAAGGAAATTAGGGAGGACCTCTTAGTTTGGAATGATTTCTTGGAATCCTTCAATTGGGTTTCATTCTGGCAGGAGGACCTCTTAGTTGAGGCAGCTTCGGATGCAGGTAGCTTCGGATGCTGCAGGCTCTTCTGGGTTTGGAGTTTACTTTAGAGGGCATTGGTGCACTGAGGACTGGCCATGGGATTGGTTCCGTCAGGTTGGG